TAAAATAACTGAGAAGTGAATGTCCATCATTCTTTTTTTATTTTATAAATAAATATTATACGTTATTCTTCATTTTGTACATTTTCTTTCATCTCGGTTGTAATCTCTGCGGCTTGCCACCACCAGTTCACCCCTGTGCCATCACCATAGTCCCGTGTGCTCTTCCCACCCCAGTTTTGATCTTGTTCCCCTCTCCTCCCCCATAGAATGTCTCTGGTTTATAGTTGTTAGCTGATATTCTTTTTTACTTTATATATGTGTGTGTGTGTGTGTGTGTGTGTGTTTTCCTGATCCCTCACACTCCTGCTACAAGTGAAACCATCTGGTATTTTTCTTTATCTTGCTGGCTTATTTCACTAAGCATTATCTTTTCCAGTTCCATCCACATAGCCGCAAATGGCATGAGTTTATCCTTTTTGATTGCTGAGTAATATTCCACCGTGTATATATCTTTTTAATATCCTCGTTTGTGTTACAGGTCCAGTAGGACCAACATCTACTGCTTATTTCCCACTTTATGAGTCAGTAGTTAGAGTCAGTGTCCTCTGGATTTTAGGTATCACTCAGTGATTCACTTCAGAAATAGCCATGACCTTTTATGTGCCAGGTGCTGGGGTGTAGCCTTGAACACAAAGGTGAAAATTCCTGCCTTCTGGAACCTGCCTTCTGTCCATATGGACCAACTTAGCTTTCTGTTAGAATCAAGGGGGCAGGTGGGAGCCGTTGGAGTACCGGGTGCCCTAGCAAAATCATCATTCCAAGCAACAGATGTATTAACTCTGAAGCTCTTAGCCATCATTTCCAGGACAGGGTCCTTAAGCATGGCTCATGCCAGGGTATCTGTCGGGGACCGAGACCAGGACTTTGCCTCCTATGCACAAAACAACACTTGATCGGAACTTAGGGTAAACATCCTGGCTGAGAATGCAGCACACCTGAATCCCTTCCCCCACTCTCCTTCCCTTCCTGCTCAGCAAGTTTTGGCGCCTAAGAGATGACGATGGATCCCTCCCCTCAAATCCATTGGCCTTTAAGACATTAGACCATCAGACCACCCCCCGCCCGTACCTTCTGTGCCGCCCTCAGGTATATATATGACTGTTGTAAGAATAAACTCTCTCTCGCACGTGTCTCTGTCTTGGCCTTCTTCCTTGCGCTGTTCCTGGGGCTCTACCCCCTTGCCTTGCTGGTCAAGGCCCCCCGCAGGTATCAGCATGTTCTCCCTAAAAGGATGATATGATGCTAGGAATTGGAAGCAGGAAATACCAGTATGGAGGGGAAATAAGACTAGCATGTGGAACAGGGGTTGCAAACTTTGGCCATTGGCCAAAGCTGGCCTGCCAACTCTTTTTTTTATAGCTTTATTCAGACATAATTTATGAAGCACGCAACTTACTGCAAGTGTACACATCAATATTTTTTAGTATATCTCCAGTGGTATGCAGCCATCACCATGATCTTAGATTTATTTATTTATGCATACAAGAACTGGGGTATAGGCCAGTGCATGGAGTGAGAGGATTCGTCATAGAGTGGAGACCAGAACAGACAGATCTTCTGAAGTACACTGCTGAGGGGAGCAGTGGGCAGGACAGGAGAGGTCTGCTGTGTCATGTGGGTCGCTCCCTGACCGGGGATCAATCTCATACTGCATTGGATGACAGGAGCTTCATAGTGCGGTCTTTAAGCCCTGTGTCAGACAGGGAGGCCCCATCTTAAAATTAGAACATTTTCAGCCCTGCTTGAAAACAGCCCATATCTAGACTAAAAATCCTCGTTTGTACATTTCATCTTTTTATAGACTCACAGACACCTTCACTCCCTTTCCAACACTTTAGGTTCTGAAACCCTTTAAGCATTGAGACCCAACTGGATTCAGTTAGTCACATTTATGGCATTAGATGGCACTTGTGATCTGAATTTCAAATTGCCAGTCCCAACCAAGTATGCTGTCTGTTTTGTGAATATGTAACCAATTATCTACTGCAGTCTATCCTAGGTTTAAGTTAAAAAAAAATTTTTTTTTTCAGCTTCCATCTCTGAAATGACACTCTGGACTCACAGTGTTCCATGTCTAGTAACTAGGACGCAATTTCTTCACCTAAGGGGGACATGAAATGTTGTTGCATTGTGCCTCTTGCTTTCTTTCCATTTCTTTCCATTTCGTTCTTGATAATACTCACTTTTTTCTAGAATTTCATCTTTATATTCTTTAAAATTTTATTGTTACCTATAAAAATCACATCTAGTTTAGGCTAAAGAACAAAAATTAAGCTGGTGAAAGTCATTTGAAGAAAGAAATATTTAAACTAACTAGAAATAATTGGAAGTGCATATAGCAAAAGAAGAAACATCTATTCAAGAAAAAAAAGACATTTGATAAGAACAGGAAGAATATGGAATTTACAAGATGATCCAATGCCTTCTGTGCCCTCTTGACTCAATGTAGTATGAACTCCACTACAAAGAGATTAAAGGTTACTTTCCTCACTCTCACCCGTACAGATATGGACCCTTCTCACAACAGGAAGGTATCTGAACATCTCACGACTTTCACTCAGTTAGATAAGGTACAGACTAAGATCTGTGTCAGGCAGAGAACTGGGAGGTGCTGCCACTCAGGAGACAGATACTGGGGTCTAGGTAGGTCTCCCTATATTGAAAGTTTCTTTTAGCCAGGCCAGCATCCAAGGCTCCCTAACACAGGACAGATGAGACTCAGTGATGAGGCATCTCGTCAAGCAGGCTGCCTCAGGACTGCCCCTCCATGGTGACCCCAGCTTCCAGGGAGCCTGACCCTGGTCTGGCTGTGCTGCCCACCGTGTGGAGGAACTGAACTCCCGAAGGAATACCACTCCAGCACTGGGGCCTGGCCTCCTAACCCCAGCTGGGCAGCAAGCTGAGGGCCATCCAGGGTGCCATAAATAAACAAGGACGTGCTGGAGGCCAGCAAAGCAGATGAGGCTGGCACCACTGACATACTCCTCGTGAGGGGAGGTCATGTCCCAGGTCCAGCCACCTTCATCTTTCCTGTACCTGGAGGCCGCCTACAGATTACAGTGTTTAATGAGGCGTGGAACAAAGCCACCATGTTTACTTGCTAGTGATACTTGCTAGCTTTGGTCATGTCATGTGTGTATAAAGGAATAAGTGGATAATGACGACTATATTCATTGTGCTGCCTATAGTAGAAATTTTCATGACACAATAACCAAAATTCATTTAAGACAGCAACTTGAAATGTATTCCATATCACGGAAACATGACTAATAGCAGCCATAAAACAAAGTTGGCCATGTGTACCTTCTATTGGAATGAAAATTCAGAAACTAAGAAACTTAAGCAATTACTCCTAAACAGTCTGGTAGTAGCAAGCCCCTAATTTATGTATTGAATCACAGACTAAGCTGTTAAAAGGTTTAAGCAAAAAAAGGTTGAACAATACAGGGTAAAAACCTTGTGGTTTTACCATCTGAAGACATTTCAACTTCTTCAGGATGCAGCCAATCAAAAATAAAGCGCACAGGGCCCTCCCTGCTAGCACAAAGGGTTGGGACGTAGCACTGCAAGCTGGTGGAGCTGCCTCAGTGCGAGATCCCTGGCCCTGGAGGTGATCATATGGCGTAGTGACCTCTCCTGTCTCCCCCGCGGCTCCCCTCAGCAGTGTACCTCATGGGTCCGTCTGTCCTGCTCCCACTCTGTGTATGGTGAAGCCTCTCAGCCGTTGCACCTCTGGCCTGTATCACAGTTCTGTATGTATAAATAACAAATTGAAAATAAATATAAACAAATGAATAAATAGATATAAAAAATAAATCACGCAAATGGCAAAAAAAAAAAAAAAAGGTAAACTGCCAGGAAAATTCCAGATAGCAGGCGGCAAACTGAATAATATCCCAGAGTCCTGTCCCAAAACTACATCCCCATTACAGCCCCGGCCAACAACTGCCTCACCCACTCCCCCCTAATCAAGCCCCACCTGCCTAGATGCTTACAACTCATTCTCCTAGGGGGACACAAGCAGAAACATGGACACAGGATGCAGTTCCCCGGGCCATCCTCACTTACCAGCTACCCACCATCTGTCACCCTGATCAGGGCAACCACAGCACAGTGGTTTATGGTGATTTGCAGATCACTGGTCCCTGAGGCTCCAGGTAGGACTCAACCACAATGAGCCACACAACCCATCCGGCGAAAGGCACACGGGGTAAACTCTTGGCAAGGGGTGCGCTAGAGCCAACCACAACACAAAAAACGCCACCCTATTCTCAAGGGCACGGGACTGAGCAGTGCAAGGCAGGGGCGCCCCCAGCCCAGGATCCCAAGGACCCATGGGCTCTTAATGCAATTCCCCGGAAAGCCCACAAGAGGGCGCACTACCCCCGTCAGTCGCCCGCGTGGCGCCAGCGCAGTGCTGCTGGAGGGCCCGCT